CAGAGGATTAAACATGAGATTTATCACAAAATTAAACTGAATTAAATGTTCTCTGATAGCACTTGAAATGCTGTCGATACTCTTAACTGATAATCTATGCTTTCTGTGTTTACTTAACAGGCAGCAGGGATGTCTGACTCAAGAAAACGACTATAATGTAAAAACATAAGCTGAAAAGATTTGCTGAGAGCATTAAACCTCACCTAGAAAACCATTATTTCTTCCTGTTAGAAGAGCAAAAGCATTTTGCTTCTTTGCCCATTTCCTATTTAAGGGCGAGGAAGGTACAGTCCTCTCACATACCACAGTTCTGCAACCTCCTTCTCAGGACTATTATAGGATGCATAGGGCTCTAAAAGATATTAGACAGGGTTTCAACAAAATATTTTACCGTTTCCTCCCATGGCAGTCTTTACCTCATTCAGAATTATTTTTTTCCTCCTTTCTTGATCTTGATGACTTTACTAAAACTTATTCCACACCCTGAGAAATTTGCCAGCCTGCCCGCTTCTCCTTTCCCTCTAGATTAGCCCAGCTACCTCCCCAGGTTCAGACACTCAGACCTCTCCTTAATTAGGCTGGCATAGCACTGTGCAGGCTTCTCTGATGTTCTCTTCCAAAAAATTCAGTTCCAAGCATAAAGAACCAGAAGCACCAGCAACACAGTGCCACTGGCCTAAGAAACAGGAAAGGAAGTCCAGAAAAAAAATTCAGGTAAATTTTACAGAGAGAAACAAAATCTAAATTCAGACACTATTCTTCTGGGACGAGATCCATCCCTGCAAGAGAGCTGGAATTTCCCAAACCCTGCTGCGTCCTGAGATCTGTTATCAGAATCACACACAGAGATTATTGCCATCTGCGCTATAATAATGTGGTTGGCCTGGTTTTGAGGACCAAAACCTCAACTCACAGCAGGAGAGAAGGGGGAGGGAGGGAAGGGAGGAGCAGGAGCTCGTGAGTACACAAAAGACCAGATGCAAAATAATAACCAATCACAACCTCAGCTTTGATAAATTTTGAACATCTTGATGTTTCTGTGGCTTTCCAAAATGGTCACAACATACAAACTCAGCTGAAGAGCTCCTATAAGAATTAATGTTTGTGTTCAACAAGCAAGCAGCCGAGGGACATCAGCTTCCAGGATGCTTTCTTCCTTCCTGTTTTTCAGGGAAAGGCTGTATCCCACCATCCCCTCCACGAAAAGCTTAATAAACCTTGATAAAACACCTCAAAGGAAACACGACTATCCAATAGCAAATAAACCACCCAAAACAAAAAACACCGAAAAATCCCTCATCGACTATCATGAATTGAATTTTTACTGACTTAGAGGGGCTTAGCTGCTTTCTAAACAGGCTCAGCTATCCCTAGTGTACTCTGCAAAATTCAATCCAGTAATCCAATCCCAGATGCATTACGTGAAATCTTATTTCTCCAAGCTCCAGAAAAGAACAAGCAAAAGGAAGTCTTTAGGAACACTAATTTGCCAATAAATACTGACTGAGCCAATTTTGCTTTTGCTGCTTTTTGGGTGGAAAATAAAAGCAGAAAAAAAAAAAAAAGCTGCTGTCTGAGTACTGCATGCCCTCATTAAAACTTCACTTGCGGATAGAAAAGATACCATGGAACGTGTACCCTGAAATTAGCCCAGCATGTGCTGCCCCAATAAACAAATCCTCAGAAACTAGATTAGAGTCATTCCCAATAGGTTTCCACTGCAGAAATCACTACCAGTTCTGTCCAGAAAAGGAAAATCTCTGTAATATCTAATAAATGGACCAAAACAGCTAAATGAATAGCAGGGCAATGGCACAGCATGTTCTAGCAGCAACCAATGAAGCCATAGTCAATACACACAGTGGCTGTTAAATTTGACATCAATACCATCACACAATTAAGTCACTGAACGCCTGAGCAGAGTAGTAAAGCACTCAGTGTTATGTGAGCTCTGAGACCGCGTGTGTGAGTAAGGGAAGCAAAGATTCACCATGGTACTCCAGCAATAAGAGAAAGCTCGTGTTTATCGCTTTCTCTATATGCTTTATGGGATGCTCCGCAGATGACACAGATGGCATTAGTGATACATGAGCGCTGACAATCACTCGGCTCCACGACTCTGACGCTAACCCAAAATGGCAGCGTTTTGTCAGGAGAGCAAGAACCAGGTTAGTAGCTGCACGTGACATTAAGCATCCAGCTCTGACAACATCCTTCTGTCTTGACGCTCTGCTGCAGGACCCCAATTTATCTCCATTCGAGCAGGCTGCCCGCCTGGCTTACAGGCTCTCCCTGCTGCTGCCTGGCTGCAGCCCCACGAGCCAGGCTGCCGGGCAGCAGGGAGACACACTGCCCTTAAAAATAAGGATTTCGATTTCTTGATGCTTACATACGGGAAAAAAGGGAAGCAAAGCCCACGTGAATGCAGCTGCATATCTCAATGTACCACCTAAAAGGTAGGCTGAAGCCAAGCAGGTAACAGGCAGACACAGTGTCAAACTTAAAGATGTGATTTACCAGGCAGTTGTTTCCCTGCAACTGCTGTTCTCCCAGGAACAAAGGCCATTACTACAGTTCTTGCTTGTGTGAACAAGCAGCACGTTGGTGCTGATACCAAAGCATACCAGCAGCTGAGAGGCAGTTCGTGTCTGCATGATGGGCCAGAGCGGTTCATGTTTCTACCCTGGGCAGAAGCAGCCTGCTATTGTCAGCACTAAACTACAGTTTATGTAAGTAGTTATGTTACTACAGTTTCATGCAAGGTGCATGAAAGCAAGTCGTTTCCAATGGGAGGCTTACCCCTGCCAAACGTGCGCCTTCTGTCCTGTCCCATAGCTAAGAGATGCTGGACCTGCTTTTTTCCACCTCCTCTGGTCATTAGACATGGAGATCCAGGGCAATTGGCAGATGACAGCTTGGGACATGGAGCTGGAGGGGTTTCTGTGGCACCAAAAAAATCACTTCCCTCAAAAAGCTGTTGCTGTGTGCTCTGTATTTTATTAATTTAATGGTCAGGATAATAAATTTGTCAGTAATGACAAAGAAATTCCCTAGAAACTGGAGTGTTCAAGTGTCATTGAAACTACATCTATTTAGCAAATAGATGAATGCCTTTCACTGAAGACTGTCGTGTGATTAAGCATCTGTCAGTGTCTCACATAACGGCTGCTCCTACTTCAGTAGCACAGGTAGCTTTTTTATATGGCTGTAAAGATAATCTTGATGTGAAAGATGAGCAACTGAAAACCCAATTAATGAACTGACATATAAGTACTGGGTCATTCCTACAAGTCTTCTACTCCTGTCGACTTGTCCAAGCTTAAGTTTTTATAATCAGATTCATTTAAGTTTTACAAACAAGAGAACAGATTTTGCTTTCCGACTTAAGTTTGAGTTGAATGGACTCATACCTTCATCATTGGGTGTGAGCTTCTTTTAGAGGGCTTTTTCTTTGATTTTTGGGGTATGTTTAAGTTTTTACAAGGACTGAGATGCTGAATCTATGTTAGTAGCTCAATTTCTTAAAAATTCAGGGTGCTAAGCCAGTCTGTTGTTCTGCTTCTGTTACTTTTAGCCTTCTAACTGAGCAGTACTTTTCACATGTGTATCTTGCTCAGCAGTCACTGAAACTGGACGAAGTCCTCCAAGGAATTTCCGTAGACTCTGTTTCCTAACGTGCTCCAAAAGATTAAGAACAGAGAATACACTGGTTAGTACGTAACCCTCTGCTCTCCTATTTTCATAGCTAAAAATACACGGAAAGTCCCAGTGACAATGTGGCTGAATGACAGAGATTAGAGAGCTTGTTGTCCTAGCGTAGAAGATATCGAACATAAAGCTTGGTCCCTTGGAGAGGAAAAAAAATGGCTATGAAGAGTCTTTCGAAACAAAAAGGAATCAGAAGACTCTGCTCGTACAGAACAAGGCTGCGCCTCAAACAAATGGTTTGAAAGCCTTTCCCCACACTGCAAGCTAAAGAAAGAAAAAGAAAGGAAATCGTCAGTGGGACAGACATTCAACCCGGAGACATACAAATGCAGTTATCTGAATTTGTACCAGCTGAGAGTCTGCTCTAATTAGAGGAAATATTTCTGCACAGAAGAAAATGAAGCATGAGATGCTCAACCTAAGGCCAAGCAAGTGTCAACAGAATATTAGCTGCTGAGGCTAACAATTACAGGGACTACTAAATATCAGGTGGCAGAGCACAAATGGATCACCTAAGGGACAAGCAGCAATAACTTCTTCTTAGCGAAATGATTGCAATGAGTCCATACGCAGCTTACAGCTTATTAGAAAAAGCTTACAGCTGTATGAGACAAGATTATCAGAAATTCTTCCACTGTGAATCCTAAATGTTAAGACCGGTATGTTTGAAAGTCTGGTCTGCTGAAAACCATCATAAAATCGGAAAGTTTCCGAGCAAGGCAGAGTAGTGGTGGAGGAAGACATGGGGGAGGGGAGGCCCTTCTCAGCACGTTCCCAGCTGAGCACAAGCACACACAGTACCATTTGGGAGGCAACTTTATGTGCTCTTAGTAGTAGATTAATGAATGTAATTACCTAACATTGTGGCTGTGAATGCCGCAAAACTGTAATTTATAGCATGCTGTAAAGTTCTAATGTGTTTTTATGTCCATAAGCTGCTTAACCATAATCTAATGCATTTGTACACGAACACCCTCCTAAGTGGTTCTCAGCTAAGCAGCGAGCACAAGTTCCCCTTTGCCCATATGCTTCTGCTTTATGTCTTGATAAACCCACCTTTCATGTTGGGCATCTGAGGAGAAGCAGCTGCTAATGATATGAATAATTTTAAGTCTGGTGGCAAGAACTTCTTTCCTTACTTGATGAAGTAAGTTCCTGGCTGGCCAAAGCTGCAGCACTGATAAAAAAAAGCACCAGTCTCTTACAGGGCGGAAACAGAGCAGTGCAGATGTCCCTGGTGAATGAAGGGATGAAACACAGGACCCTTGGCCAGGTGGAGAGTCAGGACTTACCCTCACTTGCTCGCACATCGTGGGCTCTTGGGCCCCTCAGCCCAGGTGAGTATGTGCTGGGTACCTCCTCTACAGCCAAGGCACCAGGCGATAATAAAATCAATCTACAGCATCATGCCATTTCCAGAGAGTACTTACAGTGAACTATCTCAAAACACTTCACCTTCTTCTAGCTTTCAGCTGTTACGCTCTTCTGCTCGCTGCTGGCAAGACGCTATGGTCACTTGATACCTTCTCTGTTAGAGAGGAGAGATGTGGTCGGGACTCCTGAAGTACATGCTTATTGTTGCCACTAACTCATTTAGGCAAACCATTTAACTTCTTTATGCCCTTGCTTAACCATCTGTAAAATGGGACTAATAATAAACCTCAGAGGGATTTAGTAAGGCTTAATTAAATGGTTTGTAAAGTGCTATAAGATCCTCAGGAGAAATGTGCTGTGCAAGTGCAAATTATTATTATTGTTACAGTGCTTTCTACTTCCAACACAGTTAAATATTAATGATCCAGTCCTCCTAATGCCCAGTGATACAACTTTCCTGAATAGTAATTTTCTCTGCTAAAAAGACACAGGAACTAGTGGCAGGACATAAAAAAAAAATTCTTTCCTGCTCGTTCATAAGTAGTCTGAAACAGCAGACAGGAGTAAATATTTCAGTATGTATTAAACTAAGGATGTGGATCCCAAATGCATGCATTCTACACGCAGTCAGTTCAGAGCTGAAACGTAATGCCAATTACTATCACCAAATCACACGATGTTCATATATTACACAGTAGCAGAAACCCATTCGGGAAAAGTCAGTGTCATAGCTAATATGTAATGAATGCTTTTCCTAGTTAAAAACGTACCACTTTGCAGAGATCATGGTATGAGTGACACGATTAACATTCAGGTAAAACCTTCATCTTGTCAGAAGGAACATCAACATCCTGTTAGTAAGACTGCTGTGGCTTTGGGGGGCTAGGGGGAAGTACATCTTGGATTTTAAATGAGATATGTCTATTGTGATCCCGCAAAAATGATCTGCAAATTGCCTACAGGCAAAAACCAAACAGCTACAATTCCTCCTCTTTTGTCAGCCTATTCCAGGCCAACCTAAAAAGAAGAAAAATGAGAAAACTGGACTTATGACTTCAGGTCACAGGACTTGAGTGAATGTGACGTAGTTTGCAATGGATTGCTGCTTGCTTACCCTCTCAACCCATTGAGTTGCATGTCATAAACTGCAGCCACAGCTACAGCAAGTTCTTTCCCAAACAATGAACTCTTACCTCTCTTGAACATGTTAGAATCTGTTAAAACAGAAACCCAAATCACCACTGACAAATATTTTCTTAATATTTCTCAGTATTTAGTTAAATTATATAATCATATGTTAAAAGCCAAATCAAACATTAAGAAAAAAAAAAAAGCAATGCCAAACTTGAAGGTATTAAGGTTACCCATGCAACCTTAGTTGGTCTCCGCTTTCGAACTGCAGTATGGTGCAATTTTTAATTATATGGTGAACTATGTTTTTTCTATTTGATCTTCAATAATAATACATAGTATATAACTAAGATATGCAAACTATTGGTAATGAAGGGCAAACATGTTTTTCCCATCCTTATGCACTACAAAGTGAGCCTATCTAAAGAAAAAACTAACTGATTAAAAAGCACTTCTAATTTACTTATTATATTACAGGACCCAAACATGATAAAAAAAGCAAAGGAAAAAAAAGCCAAAGGAAAAAAAAACACAAACAAAAAAATTGAAAAAACATCATCATCGTCCCCAAATAAAAATCCGCTTTGCACTGAAGCACAAATATCAGAGCAGTAAGAATACACCAGGTAGAAATGTAGAAAAATAAAAATGCATGAAGTTTGTATGCTCAGAATTATGCAGTCTTTATTTCATCTAATATAGGTTCATCTAGCTACTCCATGCAATAGAAGAAGACACACCTAAGACATAGAAAGCTTTAATAATAACGATACTTTTTTTCATTTTATAGACCTTGATTCACCCCAACTGAACTGAGATGGATGCTCATGCCCTGCTCCTTCTGTAGTCAATGGAGAGACAGGAGCAATTCTAGAGGGCTGTTTCTAGGGGAGGGAGCTGCCTGAGGCTGTGGAGGTATCCACCTCCTCTCTATCAATTGTAGAGGGAACCTACAGTGATCAGGGTCCCAAAACTTCAGCACCTTGCTTTGGTGGGATATGAATCACAAAGCCTTCTACCTAAGGGTCTCAAGCTGTTTTCCAGTAAGTTAATTCTCATATACTCTGTGGAGTTGGCAACAACTGTCCCTTCAGCTCTGTGCTAAACAAAGTACAGAGATAAAGTAACTTTCCCAGGTCCCATATAAAGGTAGGGAGAGCACCAGGACTGAAACCCCACAAACTGTTCTCCTTCCTCATCCTTCATCATGGAGCGAAAACGTTCTCACTTGCTTTGGTTTTCTATACCTCACTTATCCGATCAGGCTGTTTATTACCTGTTCGTGCAGCGATGCCACACATGGTTCATCCAGTCTATCTGGAATTTCAGACTTCATATATACAAAAATCCATTGTTTGGAGCCTAAATGCCCTTCAACACAGGATCAGTTAACCGTCAATACTTACACAATGCTTCCAGAAAAACATCCCTAAGGAACTATTTTCCCAGCTTCATGCAAACAACCTCAAGGTGACCTGTGTAAATCTTTGATGCTTTCAAGCCCAGCCAGAAGAGCTGTTACCGCAGCGCGAGATCCATTAGAAGATGTCCACTGGCTCTAAAACAGGTTGGCTGAGCCAGTACTGAACAAGAACCTGCCCTCATGGATAACCCTTTAAAATACCAGCCCAAAAACACAAATCAGGCAACTCCACACAGCCTCTAATCACAAGGGTGCAGCCACTTCCAAGCAAATAAAAAGCACTGGGTATTACTATGGGGTGACAGGACTTTCTATCACAAAGGAATGATGCTTCTCGAGACCTCAAGTCTGTGGAAAGTCCCCCACTGTTTATAAACGTCTCAGCTAGAGCACATTTCACAGAGGCAATCCTATATGCCATAGATTAGAAAGAGAAGATTTGTAACAATTTTATGTTAGCAATAATTTTAAACCCATCAACTTCAACGTAAGAATTTCTATATATTTCAATATTTAATTCATTTAGTCTTCTAGTGTTCTTAAATTAGGGAGACATTTTATTGCTCTGGTTGACATTGTTATGACAACTGAAACTTGGCTTTATTTTTTAAGTGGAATTTCTGCACCTGAAAAGCTAATTAGTGCTTGTGCCCACACTAGGAATGCAGATGCAAAAATACAGACAAGAGCTACACACACATGGATTGGCTAGGTGGAAAGATGAATATCCTTTTGAGAAGCTGTATATACTATATCTTTGTCACTAAAATAAATAGCAAAGATCCTAATCTTTTCCTACTACTCCACAATTAAAACCTGCATCTGTGACCGAACACTACAATCACTGAATCTGCATTTCTTCCTAAACAAGGATTAAAGAATCACTTTACTACATAGACCGGCTACCAGTTATTATATTAATATACTCTATCTTTTCTTACTCTGGTTTTAAACTGCAAAAGAGAGAGAAGCGCTGTGGCAGCCTTGAGCTCCATCCCTTTTGCCTTCACCAGCTGATAATTTTCAGAATAGAAATGTTGGCCTCAGTCGGTACCTGCAAACAGCCTGACTGCACGTAATGATGATATACCTGTGTGCCTGTACCAGGCCACCTGTTCGCAGCCTCCCAGGAAGCTTTACAGATCAATAAAAAGCTTCCAATATTTTCTCCACATAAACTGCAAGCCATCCATCAAGTTGTTTACATCACACCGAGATATATGCACCTTTATCATTAGAAGAGCTGTCTACAGAAATGGGATGAACACACAGACATCATAGATCTCTCCTTTTAAAAAGGCTTCCTAGATTGCATTATTTTTGTTAACAGGAAACCCACCCACCAGCATCCCAAGAGCAGCGGTTAAGGGACACAGTGCAACAGGAGAAGGGCAGAAAAGCAGAAGGTCTTTAAAACACAACCAAAACGCTCAACATAGGACGTGATAAGGTCTACAGCGGTCGTATTTTGCTTGGCTGAAAAGTTGCCGTTTCACAAGCAGTCTTGAGGCCAGGTAGCTTCTGCCAAGATTTTGAACTACCTACAAACCTCCCTGCCTGGCCCTCAATTTTTTTCTATGAACACAGCCAGAGCATTGCAATCTCACAGCATTTAACATTCTTCTGCTGTTTGAGTAAACACAGTACGTCAAACATGAAAATGTGCTCAGGTTCTGAAGGCAAGCATCATGCAGAATACCCAAGCGGCACTTGTCCTCACCTGTCGGAGACTTCACACGTTCAGCCAACTACAGTCACCTGTCACTACCGATGCTACCGCAGAGATACCTGCTTGCCTTTTCAGCACAGAACAACACACACTACCGAGACCAAGTCCTGAGATCCATCCACTGAGAGGGGAAAATACTCATCTCTAACAAGGAGGAATGAATTACCACAGTTCCCACACCGTAGTAATACCTCTTTTAAACCATAAAGCTAGCTGCATTGGACAATGTGCCATGGTTATAACTGGTTATCCTTTTGAGTTAGAGACTAATGGCCACACTGATTCGGCAGCTCTTCTTTTAAGCATCCCCTAAAGAAATGAAGTGGCAGAGAGGAACCTGGGTGACGATAATCAGCAGTGCCTCAAAAAGCTGTCCAAAAAGGAGGGAGCAGGTGTGGGGGGAGTGAAAGCAAGCTCACATCTGCATCAAGTCTGAATTGATACCCCAAAGGCGAAAAGAATCTACCCTGTGATCATGCTCAAGGTGAGGAAAAAGAGAAGTCCCACATCAGTGAACTAGGGGACTTTGACAAGTATCCATAACAGACCTACCGTGTATTTGCTTTGAAAACTGCTTTCCTGTTTATCTGCTAAAATAAATAAGGAAAACCAGAATTTGCTGTGGTAAACTTCTTTCCTTTTCTTGAGACATA